GTCCAGTGACGTCAGTCCATAGACCGAAATGATATGGACTGGTACACACAGCAAATATAATTACCGGCTAGAAGATTTGGTATACAGTTTTTTCTGAAGTTGAAACGTTGAAAAATCTGGACAGATGACTAATACAAGTATATTTGGCAAGTACTTTAAAGTTTTGGGAATGGATTTGCTTATATGTTCGTATGATAAGAAAATTAAAGAAAATTTAAGAGTTATCCAGAGTAACAGGAGGTTAGAATTAAGAAGCTGCAACGGCTAAATAGAGTTTCGCAAAACAAGTGTGTTTTTTGTCCTTTATATTCGGGATAGATAATTTGGGTTAAATGATGCAGATGATTTTGCAATATCGATGTTCTTTAAAATAGATATATTTTCTATGATCCTTTCAAAAGCGCTTACGAACAATGAAAACAAAAATAACTTTTTATTGATGGAATTTAATAGATCAAATGCTTCAGTTTTATGATACTTGTACAGAGTGAATCAAACTCAATTGAACTTGGAGTTATCTCGAAAATTGTGAGAAATAAGAAAGAATTGATCCTACTCCAGAATTTAGGAAAAAAGTCATAACCTGCTACCTGTTTCTGTTTCAGAGTCACAAACACCGGATCGAAAACTTGTAAGGTACTTTTTTTTAGTAGAAAATAATGATGTATAAAAAAGTTATAAGTTTATTCATTTTTGAGTTTGGGATAAAACTTGTCCCCAAATTTCACCGAATTTGATTGACTATGTACAGCCTATAAGAACAACTGCAATACGCGTGAAAGTTTTGTGTTCATTTAAACATGTTCACTTCCATTACCCATTTCTCTCATACTCAATGCGTCGTCCCACGCACAGGATATAGTATAGATTGCTAAATCTCAGTTTCAGTTTAGTCTTATGTTCGAAAAATTAATAGTACCTACCCATTGTTAATGCATATATTTGTTGCAAACATAGCTTCGTCGAACTAATATTTCAAAAATAGCAATGAATCTATAAAAATAATAAAGTTAGTCATGCAAAGGGATAAAGTAGCTAATGATAAAAATAATAAAAAAATTAAACGACCCCACGACTACAATTTTCCCATAGAATACTGTGGTATACTAGGTTGTCCTCTCAGTTTCATATTTTCTGAGAAATTACTAATTTCTTACTAAATTACTAAGTATTAGATACAGTGGAACAGTTATTATGTTGCAATATTTATAATTTTAAGATGTACTATTATTACTAAAAGCGTATACTGAAAATGTATGCTTTTATTAAAATATTAAACTAAAAAAATATGTACGCATGGTTTTCGAAAAATTCGTATAAAAACCCTATCAACTTTTTTTATCTCTTACAACAATCGAAAAATCAGTCAAATTTCATAAACCCTCTCTATATCTAAAGCAAATCTTTTTGGTCAAGGCTTTGCATCAACAAATTTAGCTCAGAAAAAAGAGCACGGATATTAATCTCCTTTTTCTATGACTGTTTAGCCCGTTTAGCCAATCAAAATAACCCTGTACATTAGAAAAAATTGTTTGAGTTTTTTAATTAATGTGTTCATGTTTTAATCATGTCTTTGTGGTAAAGCTAGGTACCAAGTTCTTAACAGTTTTAGAGATATTTCGTATAAATAGATAATTCCTTAATATTTTCAATTTTTCAATTTTATTTTTACTCACGTGGTATTAAACAACAACCAACGAAAAAATTAAAATCACAGCTTACTCACATTTTTCATCTTAGTGCCGAATATTTTAATTATTTACATTAAAGTAAATCAAATAAAACATAAATAAACTAAAGTTAAAACTGTCACATATTCACTAAAGTTAATTATACCAGTGGAGTTAATTTTAAATTTCAAAATTTAAGAAACAAATCAGCATCATGCAACTGTACCTAAGGGGAAATATATTAATAATAGCTGCTTGCCATGCAAAGAGAATACGACATACCCATATTCTCTTGAACATCACAGATGTCATAAATTGTGTTTCTCGCAAAGGACTTGTTGCAGTTCCTGCTATTTGTATCACTTCTGTGACATTATGAGAACAAAGTAACATATCTTTTGTCAGGAAATAATGCAATGCCGTCTCTTTATCCGATGAGAAATAACGGTTTCATATATTGTCAAAATAACAGGATGATTCTAAAATACGTGGACAGCACAAGGCCAGAGATTAATTGAATCAGCACCTATATACAAATACATACACTTACAAATAAAAATTTTTCATATTTTTAAAAGTCATTCTAGACTTTTTAATTGGTATGAATCTTTAATTATTTGCGTATATCAGTGATTGTTGAACTGTGTGTTTTTTCTTTGGGCCTAGGGGCCTACACTCCTTTAGCTACTTCCTCCAGTACGTTTACGGGTGAATTTTCTTTTTCAACTACAGATATCAAAATTTCATATGTCATTTTCTTATTTTAGACCTTATTTTACTAATATGTACTAGACTCAAATAAATAAAGATGCATACCTAATAGAAAGTCTCTACTTCAAGCTGTTTTAAAGTTACATGAAAAAATATTTTGTGAAGGCTATATTTTTACTTTTGTATATACACCTAAGAGGAATGCTTCTGTAACTCTGCAACTGTAAAATTTATTAAAAAAAATGGTTATAATAAAAGTCGCCTGTAATCATATGGCCCATGTATAGTAAATATTTTTAGCATTACAGGGTGTTCCATTTCGCGTGGGCGCTACATAACTTTGTTATTTTGAATGGAACACCCTGTATATTCTTGAATTTTTGAATTCCTTGGTTAATATTAGGTAGAGTTTATTAAATGTACAAGGTGTTTAAAACTTACCGTTTTCGAGATAATCAGTTGTCTTTGAAAAAAATCACAATTTCAGCTCTCTAAAAAAGGCGGCTAGATAGCGTCTAAACCATAAGAGCTAGAAACCTGCAGTTTTTACAATTCATTTTGGCATAAATTACTCTATCTTGTCATCTGTTAGCAAAACGTGTACGTTATTCAGACTCGGAAATACTAAGACCTACATTTAATAATCTTACGAGTTGAAAAACTGATATAAGATTGTCCATACTTATCTTCAGTTTTCCAGAAAAATCAAGTTCTTTTCTAAAGTCCGAAAAAGTAACTATGTGACGGCGTCAAGAAGGCCTTGCAAAACCATTTTTCTCTCACATTTTATCAAGCCTAGGACTGCCAGTGTACTGGCATAATTAAAAACAGGTTTGATAAACAAAAGTAAACCACTAACAACAATTAAAACAAAACGCAAAACGAAACATACAGAAACTCGGGACACAAGAAGAAGAATACTCAGACTGCTGATTTACATGAATTGCTGGAAGTATCCTCCATTTTGAATAATACACAAACGAATTCGGTTTTTAAAAGACTGTTCGACATTGGTCAGCATGTCTGGCGTAATTTATTGAAATGCTACTGTAATGCGCTGCCACATATCTTCCGTGGTAGTTGGTAGTGTAACGTAAAGTTTGCTTTTTATAAATCGCCATAAAAAGAAGTCGCAACTTGTCATATTTGGACACCTTGAAGGCCAACTCACTGGTCCGCAGCGGTATTGTAAGGTAGAGCACCGTCATGTTGCATCTACATTCTTCGAAGTGTAGCTAAAGGAATGTCGCCTAACAAATCTTCTAGAGTGTTTATTAAAAAGTTTTAAAAAAACTGCTCCAGTTAGATGCTGGTCAAAAAAGAATGGTCCAATGACATGGGTTCCCAAAATTGCTCCCCAACGTTCAAACGTTGGCTATAAGTTCTTCGGAATCGGTGAGAATTTACTGTGTTATAATAATGGCAATTGTGACTATTAACGTTCATTTTTATGAAAAGTAGCCTCATCGGATAACATGACATTAAAAAAATCATCATCTTGATTTAACGTCTCAAGTTCCCTCTGACAAAACTCCAGTCTCCGCTGAAAGTCTACTTTTAGTAACTTTTGGTTTAATTGGATGCGATAAGGATGTGCTGTGATGTGCTTTTGTAAAATCCTATGTATCGACGTTGTACTAGTACAATTGCAAGGCCTTCTTGACGCTGTTACATAGCTACTTTTTCGTACTTTAGAAAATAATTTGGTTTTTTTGGAAAACTGTTATATCAGTCGAAAGGGCATTCAATTTTGCATTCACACATTATACAGTTAATATGGGTCATTCCATTTGAAAAAAAAGTTTTTCAACTTGAAAGATTATTAAATGTAGGTCTCAGTATTTCCAAGTCTGAATAACATACACGTTTTACTCACAAATGACAAGAGAGTAATTTATTCCAAAGCGAACTGTGAAAACTGCAGGTTTCTAACTCTTCTCATTTCTCATTTAGAGAGCTGAAATCGTGACTTTTTTCAAAAACAACTGATTGTCTCGAAAACGGTAAGTTTTAAACACCATGTACATTTAATGAACTCTACCTAATATTAACCAAGGAATTCAAAAACGCAATAATATACAGGGTATTCCATTTAAAATAACAAAGTTATGTAGCGCCCAAGCGAAATGGAACACACTGTAAAGCTAAAAATATTTTCTGTACATGACTCACATTATTCCAGGCAACTTCTATTAAAACCATTTTTTTATAAATTTTACAGTTATAGAGTTACAGCAGAATCCCTCTTAAGTGGAAACACCCTGTATAGGCAGGTTGTTCTATTGTTTTCTTATTTTGACCTAAGGAATTAGTGTTTTTCATAATTTTTATCAATAAGTTAAAAGTTATATTCTAAAGCCTTATAATTAAAAAATTGAAATAACTAAAGACTGTTAGACATTATCCGGAGAATTGCTTTCCATTTCATATACAGATAAATTTCTGTATGGTTCAAAAACAAAAAAAATATTTGAGAATAAGAAATAAACTGAAGTTAGTATTTAATATTTTTTCCCACGCTTAGTTTCTTAAAGTCATACACTTTTCTGATAATATTTTAGTTAAAGTAGGTACATAATATCGAGGTTAGCTGCGAAAGGATTAAAACAAAACACTTACCATTGTATTTGTGCTCGCCGAGCTTGATCTGTGATTAACCCTAGAGGGATTAGCGGGGGAAGGGGACTGACTAGAAATCTTGTTTTCGGGAGGTCCTCCGCCATTCTTGACGCTTATCTCCAGATAACAATGAGACTCTAGGTGACTTTGAGCCCTCTTCTCTTCGTTCACTATCCTCCTGGCTGCTCGAAATATTTTATAATAAACTACCATCATCACAGTGAGCGGGATATAAAAACTACACATCGTCGCGTACAACTGGTAACCAAAGTCTTGCGAAACTAAACACACTTCGTTATTGCGCTCCCCATTTTCCTCGATTTCCGAATGTTCGTTTCCGATTATAAGTAAAGGTGGCAAAGAAATACAGGCCGCGAAGCACCACACTAGTATCACCCAGAGGATCATTCGTTTGGGAGTCCGCTTCACTCCATATTCTAAAGGCTTCGTTATTGCGTAGTATCGGTCCACGCTGATCATACACAAATTTAAAATCGAGGCCGTACAGCTGAGGACGTCGAAGCTCACCCATAAGTTGCATACGATTTCTCCAAATATCCATCTACCTTTTATTTCGTAGAACGTAGCCATGGGCATTACAAGAATAGCGACGCAGAGGTCACTCACGGCTAGACTCACGAGTAAATAGTTACACGGTCTACGCAGCTTTCTGACTAGACAAACAGCAACACACACTAGGATGTTACCCACTATTGTTCCGATAATAATTGCTATCAAAATTATAGTTATAATAATACTTTCGGCTTGATTGTATCCAGATTTGTTAACGTGCGTTTCATTATTGGAATCATTTGTGAACACTTGAGTAATATTGGCCGCCATACGAGAATTTAAACAAGCACAGTTCTTATCGGGGATGTCCCTTCTTAATCCTCATGCCAATTATTGTGTAAAGTTGACTTCACTCTGGCTGTAAATGAATACGTAAAGTTTGTTCCATTAAAAAGACCCTCGTCCGTCTAGGATTTACATTCATCTTAGTTCTAAAGTTAATATTTGCTGAGACCAGCTCGAGATCATAAGATTTTCTAACTTATTTTATAAACTTAACACCCAGCGAGTAGAAAGCACTTTCTTTACCAGTCTTCGGTGGTTATACAAGTTTCTCAAACCAATCACTTTCCAAAGTGGATCTCTGAAAAGAAAATTCAATTTGTTAATAAAGTTTCATACTAAATCAGAAGGATGGTGTAGTTTTATTTTAGAACTTTGGGATAAGGAATTTCTTTAGAACATTTATAAAACTGAAGCTTAATCTATATCATTATCAAAGTAAATAAAGATCTATGAGATAATGTCATACAAAAGCTAATTAGGTTAATACGGTTCTAGAGAAATCTTTTTAAAGCAGGGAGAATTATAATATAGATGTAAAAAAGTTAATCAAAGCTTCCTCAGATATCAGAACAAAGTAGTTAACCAAATATTATCAAATTGCTTGCTTAAAATGTTACAGATTTTCGAAATAAGTTTTCTGATTCATTTTTTTATGACAACTCCGTCAGTACTTATACAAGGGAGTGTTTGGAGTAGTTAAACAAAACTTATTTCTTACCTAAAACATGGAGGATGATAGGAATACCCTAAACAGTCTTTCATTTTTTGTTATATTTTTTTTGTTGTAGATATTTCCAGAAAACGCAGACATTTTTGAGACATTATTTAACATAAACAGGTCTACGTACATGTTGCTTATCAAATATACAAAAAATAGGAACGAATATTAATTTTCTACGGCAGTTAACAGATACAAACAGTGTAGTGGCTTAATTAATTAAACTTTTTTAAATTTTAAACCAAATTAAATATTTTTACCATTTAAAATAACTGACCCTCATTCAAAAGAAACACCTTCTTCGATACAATTCTGTGAATTTAGCTTTGGGCCTATATTCAGAGGACTATATCTCAGTAGGCATTGATTTTTGAAGGGTAGGTCTAGGTCGTAGAAAAATAAAACATTTAATTCTGTTAAGAAATCGATAAGAAAATGAGATTTGGGCTTGACTGTCACTAGACCCTCGAATAATTTTAGCCTTATGTAAAAAGTATACCAAAAAAAAAATATTGTAATAGGAAAACAAAAATATATAAAATTGAGAATGCGTATGTACAGACTGTATCATAATTAAAAGCGAAAATTCAAACAGCTGTACTTACACAATACTAGAAGCAACAAAGTCTTAGTAAACATGGGTCCGCAAACGAATAGTTTGCAAGATAATTTAGAATTTGTAGTTACCAGCCATCACTGACTTGATTGTGTGTAAACGGCTCTCGGGGTGCCTTTGAGCAGGATATGCTGTTTCAATTTACGCTATTAATTATGATACACATAATTGAAAACCAGTAACTTTTTAAAGAAGCGTGTTAGTACTGAGGCATACTTGGTTAATTGCTTTGTTTTGGGAGAAGCTTTGGTTAAATTTTTTATAACTAATTACGATTCATCCTTTACACATGAGTTACAGCAAACCTAACATTAAAAATGTTGCTAGGGAACGTCATACAAAATAGTCGAAAATTAACACGTTCTAGGTAATAACAAAATAAATTCATACTATGCATAAATAAACATCAGTATTGAAACTTGAATATTTCGAAAACGATTATTAGATGTTTTTTAGTATAGGGATACATCGTAAAGTACCTATTATTTATACCTTGTGACTCAATTACACAGGGTGTAAATGATAAGTTTAGCCAAACTTTAACGGCGCATTCTATCGATGAAAATAATCAAGTTTTGCCCAATAAAAATTTTTGATAGAACGCTTCCCTACGGAGATACAGGGTGTATAAAGTTTCAAATGTTTGTATTATTTTTCCTGTAACTTCACTGGCAAAAAAGATTGAGTGATAAAATTTGGGGGACATTTTTTTTAGTAGGAACTATTTTTTCACGGATATCTTATTCCAAAATATACTCCAGCGTCATAGTTATTGGGGAAGTAGGGGACCTTTTTTGAAAAAATCATACGCCACTGGTTTTTTAAATATGTAATTTGAAATGCTTTTAAAATGTACAATCAATTTGTGGCAATGAAATATTTTTGTAAAGTATTCGTTAAATTTACTGATCTTTAGATAATTGGGAAATCAATTAAGAAGATACTTCAGTACCTACATTGCTATTTAACATTTTCTATTGATTGCTAAATGTGTAACAATAAATTCAATACTTAATATTTTTGAGAGCTTTCAAAACACTACACAACGCCACTGTTTTGTGTGCCGCAAAAAGTTTACTTGTTATTTATCATACACCCTGTATGTTCGTAGGGAACCTATGCCATTAAAGTTTGGGCTAAACTTATCATTTACAATAAGAAGTGGATCTTATTTGTGGAAGGTCGAAATGGGCGGTGACTATTAGACCCCTTCATTATAGCCATCTTTCTCTATCGCACGGATTTCTATGACTTTCTTTATCGCTCTCGCGTAACGGCCGATGAACCATGGGGACTTTCCGACCCTGTATACACAACTCGTAGGTTGTCGGCTTCCTTAAAGGTTTCTATCGTACATCATAAAAAAGTAATAGTAATTATTATGCCAATATTTATGCAAACAATGAATAAAACTGGCAAATAAGTGTAATTAGGAAAGTACACCTTCAAAGATTAAAATTAGTAGAGGAAGGAATTTATGAAGCAAACAGCGCGACGTAAAAATTTCCACGCTTATCCAAAAAGTATCAATGTTTCAAGATATACTAAATTTAATTAATTAACATGTACCTCTAATTTTAGTTTCCTTTTGTAGTTAAGGAAAGAAATATCACAGTTTTTACTGTATATGTATTATATTCTTAAAAATTCTAAAAACTGCAAGTAATTACTTAGTGTGCAGACAAATTTCTCTAGGAAAACATAATTAAATAAAGTATGTACATAAATACCAAAAAATATCACAAATAAATAATTAGAAGCAATATATTCTTTTATTATTTGCCACGAATACTAAGTTTTAATATAGGTAGTAAATTATCATCACTCATGTATTTACTGTTCTATAAAATTGTTAGGGCTAAACAAACTGGACTACTTATTAACATAATGTTGCATATGGTGTTGAATATCAAGTAACATAATTTATGTGTACCAAAAACTAGACTCGTCTGCATTTGTTTTTATGATAGATCCGCTGTGATGATATTATATAACCTTAATGCAGAATATTTTAGTTTTATTAAGTTTCTACATTTTAACATTAAAATCTCATTATTATAAATTTTATGATTTCAGAATATTTCTTTATACAGGTTTAATGTTTAAAAGCAATTTAGTTTCAGTTTCGTTTGAAACATCTAAGAGGCGTTGGAAATACCTACGGAATGAAGAAGTCAATTATTATCACTGCTCATTATAATTTGTAAATAAATTCTTCTTATGAGCCTAAAATTGAAACACTTATCCTTTTTCGCTTTTATAAAACATATTATTTTATATTAGTTTGTATTAAATATCTCTCCATTCTTTATAATGAATACACACGCCGTAGTCATTTCAAGTATATGAATTGATTTGTATCCATCCACCTGATTTCTATGAACTTTTTAAACTCATTCAAGTGATTTAATGATTGTGTTTTTTTTTTGTTCAAAAATAACTAAATAATTTGAATTCATTTTGCAAATATTCCCGCCTGCGAAAATATGGTACTGGAGTACTAATGATTTGCTAAACGAACTGAAACATTCATGCAATTTAGCCAAATATTAAACAATGTTTTGATTTTAATTTCATTTATTTATTAACAAAATAAGTTCACACGCATATACACAAACATATTCACACAAAATTAATAGGTATATTTTTATCATAACTAATGTTTAATAATATTATATAAAATTTAAATTTAACTATTCATTGTTGGTAAATATGCAGCTTCACGAAATTAAAGCACCACATCTGGAAAGTGGATATTGTGATTGATGCTATGGTTGGCTAGCACGTAGGTAGACTTCAATCCCATATTCAATAGTCTGAGATACGTATGATTATTGTACAACTAACTAATTAGTTTAATAACTTGTAGGACGTGGTCTCTTTATCTAAATAGACCATAGAGCATAGACCAACTGAACGTCGATAAGATATAATCCAAAACAGCAAATAAACAACAAAGAAAATACCGGATATTAACTTCATTGAATGTGTTGTTTAGTTTCATCTGTAAAATAGGGCTTTTATGCAGTTTTAAATTTTTAAAATTAAAAAAAAAGGTCAGCGTGACAGCTGATAGTTCAGGGTTATTAAAAATGGAGCGCTACCCAAAAGAACAACGCGATTTCATTATTGAGCAGTATTTTAAAATAATGAAGGTTTTCGCAATTTTCGTACAAAATATCATCGGATACTTAACTTCATCAACTGTGAAGAGAGTAATTGAAAAATTCAAGGAGACTGGATCCATTAGTGCTCTTAAACACTCTGGCCGTCCTTCAGAAAGTAGTTCGACACAAAACATCGAAGCAGTTCGTGAGAGTCTTGCTGACAGTTCGGGAACATCAATATGCAACCGTGGTCAAGAGTATTCTCACGAAAGATTTGCAGTTTCTTGCTTTCAAAGTTCAAGCGTACACTGACCACACAGAGCGAAGAGAGTTCGTTGAATGGATTACGGAACAACTACAAGTGTCGTCTTCAGCGATGAAGTTCATTTTCATCTTGATAGCTTTGTTAATTGACAAAATTGTCGCATTTGAGGTTCAGAAAATCTACGAGTAATTGTTGAGAAATAAATGCACCACAACATGTTATTGTTTGGTACTGATTCTGGATTGGAGGCATCATCGTACCATTTTTGTACCTAAATTGCGAGATATCAACATCGACATGTGGTTTCAACAAGACGGTGCCACATGCTATACAATCCGAGAAACAATTCAATTAGCGCTTGAGTCATTTCCTGGTCGTGTAATTTCCTGTTTTGGTAATCAGAATTGGCTGCCCAGATCATGCGATTTATCGCCGTGGGAATTTTTTCTTTGAGGTTTTTTATAGTATAAAGTTTATGCCAACAAGCCCACTACAACCCACACCTTGAAGTAGGAAATTG